TGTTTTTTAAATTAAAGCATTTAAACAGTTTTTTTGTCAAATACGAAATAAAAAGTCATGATACAATAAAAAAAAGAAACTGTAGTATTTATAAGCAGTGTTGCCAAACAAACCAAAGAAAACCTTCCTGTCACTAAAATCAAAACTCTAATCACATATAATTAAAAAAATGTGACAAGTAAACAAATTAACACTTTAAAAAATTATTTTAAAAAAACACTACCTACTTATTCCTGTAAGAGAATTTAAAAATTTTGGACAAAAAATTATTTGGGTCATTATTTTAGGAAGTTGACAGTATTGAATATTTGTGATTTATCGCTTTTTGTGCATGTAATTTATTCTGAGAAATTCCCACAGCATGTTGCTGCCACCAGCATGTTTGGCAACTCTTGGCCTCTTTAAGCTCTAATAAGACTTAGAACATTTAATTTCTTTTGGGGAACAATAAGTATGTATGAATTGGCAAATTAACTCAATATTTTTTCTGCTCAAGACTTCTTCGCATGTTAATTTAAGTATTTTATTTGTCATGGATAGTTTTTAACCTTATTTTCCAATTCTATGTATAACTTTATGCCATTAAAGTTGTTTTGATCAGAACTCAATGGCAGATGATTTGGTTACATTTGTGTATAAAAACAAGCTCTCATTAATTTCCTCATCATTTTAAAAAGATAATGGACAAAATGTTGGGCTTCTCATAATGTTTCACTTCCTTACAAAACAAACTTTTGGAAATAAGCTGCATCCTGACGCAGAAACACGGAGCAGAAGAGGAGAGAAAACATCGAGGTCAGTCTGTGAAGCAGATCACACTGAAGTCACCTTATTAGGAACCCCCTCGGCTGTGATGTAATGTGAACGCTGCAACCAGATTAAACTGGACTTGGGACCGGAGCTCAGAGCTAAACTTTACACTCCAGTTGCCATCCTATGAGCATCGGCTTCCCATCAGGAGATTGGTGCTGCTCGCCGAGTTTCGCAAAAACAACTCCTAATATGTTCAAAGGAAGACTTAACACACAATAGAGGTGCAACCTACATTTCAGCCACTCACTTGGCTTCATTGGATGAGGGGAGACTGAGCCGTGCACAGTAACTACTGCTGACTGAGACAAAGAAAACTACCATTTTCTGCCTGTAAGAAACTCGAAAATGTTCACAGATTTAAAATCCAAAGGGGAAATGTTGTGAAATAAACCAAAACTTACAGATTGGGTCATCCATCTTCAAATTGCGCTGAATGCGGATGGAGGATGGAACTGTGTTTTCGATCAACTGGGCGACTGACTGCGAACAAAAGCATTTCAATGAATTAAAGGCGCGCAATAAATAAAGAGTGTAACTTAATGCGATTAATATGAAAGCCCAATAAATATGATCAAATGGATAATCTTACCTCGAGTCCCAAAACATCCAGCATTTCTCTCTTCTCCCTCTCACCTGGACCGATGTGCCTCTCTGCAAAGTCATCGTGCCGGGGTAAAATCCGCTCGATCTGCCTGGAGGAGGCGGCTGCAGACGTCCTCAGACCCCGGGCTCCTGCTCCTGCTGCCGCTGCTGCTGTTGTTAGGGACGCTGAGCTGCGCTGGAGCCGGATCCTGCTCTGAAGTTTCCAAACCACGCGGCTCCTGTCGCTCAGATGCCTGCACGGTGCGCTCGGATGCACCGACTTGGCCACAAAGACCCTCCAAGACTTGGCGCAGCTCTGCATCTCCGACTCAATGTGCCGAAAAAAACCAGCGAAGCTCTATTATTCTCCTCCTTCCCCCTCAGAAGAGGTTCCCTCCGCTGTGCGGGGAGATACGGCACACTTTATACTATTGCACAGTTGCACAAGAGCGGACCAATCAGCGCGGAGATGCTGCGTGACGCAGTGACGAGCCCCAGCAAAACAGCTGCTAAACTTTCTCACGTGCCAACCCCCAATGACCAAAAGAAGAGGAAAGAGGAAATGTGTCGCTAAAGTGACCTTTGAATCTGATTTCGGTCTAAAGTTCTCCTGGACTTTGGTGCGATCACTGATCACTGATGCTAATAAATGTGCGCAAAAGAGATTTTATAGCGCCAACTGACAGATTTTCATCGCCTCATAATCAAGGGGCGGGAAGTTAGGGCAATTCCAAGGACGACTGACTTAAAAAAGGAGAAACATTTATTTAGGTAGAAGAGGCCGCTGTCGATAAAAAAGGAATAATAGGGTTGTATTAAAATGTTTTCGGCAATAAAAGTTAAATGTTACAACTCCCAGACTAAAAAGCAAAGCGTTCATACTTACAGAACACCCCCGTTTCTGTATGAAATGGTTTGTTCCTGCTTTAGCGAACTGGACGGTGACCGTGTTTAGCAGCGCTCAGTAAAACACAAAAAACGATAGTGGTTATAATTATGCTGCCAATAAAAATATTAAAGATGAGTTGTTGTTGTTTTTTTAAAGAAAAGTAAACAGAAACAGAAAGGTGTCAGTTTGTAATCAAGTTTTTCTACAAGATCGTTTTAAACTACTTATAAGCTATATGGCTTTAGCTAAGCTACCTACGCTAAAAGGTTAGTAATCCCTTGAGCCTAAGCAACTCCTGTGGAAACACTGGATTAGAAACTGTCCTTTGTCTTTCTTTTATTTTCTTTCCTTAATTATCTGAACTAGGAAGAAAGACAAAAGAAAAATGTGTCAATTTGTGGTCTAGTTTTTCTGCAAGAGTCGATTAGACGAGTGATTATTAACCTTTTAGTTTAGCTTCAACCTTTTGCTTAGCTAGTTTAGCTGCAGACTCCATTTCACCAGCATTTAATCAGTGAGGAAAACGATTTACCAAGATATGTGTGTATTAAACTTGTTCCTGTAACTTTTACTACACTTAACAGGAGAGTCAGTCAGTCGTCACCATAACCGCTCATACCAGCCTAATTCCTCCTGCCTGTCCCAGTGAAAAAAGTGAGAAATAATCTTTTTCCAAATCAGCTTCTTTCAATAAAAAATTTAGAAAACTTTAACAAAAACTGCAGGTATGGATCTGTGTCTGGTAAATTTTTGATTAAAACATGTTTGTTTTTCATTTAGTGGGTAAAAAAATACAGAAATTTTACTCAAGTAAGAGTAGAGATACTTCATAATACAATTACTCATGTAAAAAGTTCATCATAGTAAAAATAATCATAAAACTAAATTTTTTGCAAAAAAATAAATGTAATAGTGTAACTAGTTTCAACACAACTCTGAGTTTAAATAAGCAAACTAAAACTCTAAGATTTTCCTGACATGAATATTTTCCTCAGGATTTGTTTGTGTCTTTTATTTTAATCATCTTATTTCAGCTGAGAGTTTGTTTGGAAGTTGCAGAAGCTCCTCCAGATCTGACCTGGTTTGACTGCTCTGTGTGAACATGAGGCTCTGAGGAACGCAGCAAACCTCCAAGAACAAAAAAAGGTGTGTTCAAGGCGCATTTCCAGGAAAGCAATTAAAAACAAAACGTAGATGTAGATGCGAGTGGGACCTGCAATTTTTTTTATATATAAATCAACAAACAAATGAAAAAAATGCAAAGTTTTAATTGCCATTGTTGAGAATTGCACCCAGTATTGTAAAAACAGAAACGGTTGTTTAAGATGTTTGTGGGAATGTGATAATTTTCTGTTGGGTGTTACTGACTTATAATTGCTTGACATGAGTCACGTCTGATGAAATTGGGTCAGAAACAAAACATGTTTTCACTTGAGGAATATGCTGAACCATTCTCTTTCCGAGCTGAGTAATGTTTTAAATATTTGTCCCCAAATGGAACAAGTTGATCATTCACAAATGTTAATCAGTATCAGACATTTTATGTCTTCCTCTTGCATTTCAGTTTTAATGCTCAGCACTTTGGGCCTTTGTTTTTGAAATGGTTATAAATTAAACTGGTTTTGCTTAAAAATAATATTAATTTTAGCCTTTAAAACAACTTCAGTCTTTTGTTTTTAAATAAGAATTGGGCATTTCAGCATTACGATGACTTGAAATCTTTAAAAAAAAATGTAATTGGTATGACATTCTCGCCCATTATGAGGTTAAGTAGCTCTTTTATGAAATATACGAGTAGATTTTAGTTATTGTGCATTTTATTTATTTTACTGAGGCTCTAAGTCTTTGTGACACCCACTCTTATCTTGCAGCTCACACCTTATCTGCACACGATGGTCATGCTTGGAGAAAAAAAAAAGAGGATGAAATTACAACCTCCATGTAACCTGTGAAGACAATTTAAAAAATTTAAAGCATTAACCAATGTCAACACCAGCATCTTTATAGTCCTTGGTTTGTTTACATTTTTTGTTGCAGAATCAGATAAAGATGAATTTTATTCAAACCACAGTTGAAACCAGAAGTTTACATACATTTTCAAATAATTTTTTTTCCCCCTCACTTCCTGAAGTTAAATTGGACCAAACCTTTCTAGGTTTGGGTCAGTTAGAATCACCAAAAGTATTTCAGTATGATTGGATATTTCCATTACGTCTATACTTGAACATAATTGTTGAAACAGATAAACACGGCACCTTCAGTTATCTGGTAATTGTTGAGTTATTTTGACCCTCTCATCAAAAAAGAAAGCAATGTGTTTAACTCAAATGTTAAACTATCAGAAGTTTCCAAAGCCATGAAATAACTTTCCTTCATTGTTTAATAATCACTGTATTTAAACTTCTGATTTTAAAGTCTTTCATGAATAAATCTTTCTCATATTCTGTCATTATTGTGATATATGTAGCAAATAGAAATAATTTAGGTAATTCCAACTGACCTAAAACAAAAATTAATTTGGTCTGATTTAACTTCAAACAGTGAGGAAAAAAAATGTTTTATTCAGTGAATTTTAATTTCTGGTTTTAACTTGTTTGGAAAATCTAGTTTTAGATACTTAAATCACAATTGTTTGGATGTTTATCTATCTTTCAACATTCAGATTAACTTTATTTTTGCTAAATTTGCAACATAAAAAAAACATGAAAGCACAAAGTGATTTGTTAAGCCCACATATTTTATGTCTTGAGACAAAAACAAAGTAATAAGTCTAAGCGATTTGTCATTTCACATCCTTGATGATACAATATAAAAATAATTGCACATATTGATCATAAAATAAATCCCTAAATACATTTCAGTATTTAAAATACATTAAGTGCAATCCAACTGTTTCCATTATTTTACAGTCATATCTCTTTAGATTCTTTCAACAAATTACCAGCAACTATTCCTAAAAACAACATTAGTCCCAGGTTTCTGTTTGAACTAAACTGTTTCCAGCAATCTTCTGCTTTGTTGATGTCCACTGTGTAAATCTAAGAGAAAAGAGAAAAGAAGATCCAGATTTAAGAGGCATCTGCATGGCGTCAGGTAGTGAATGTTTTTATGTTCCTCACCTGCCGTGCGAGGTGAACGGCCACAGCGCTCAGCGCGGCGTAGTAAGGAAGCGTCTGCTCGGCGTTGACTCCGGCCACGACCAGCCCAGACAACATGGCCGCCGTGAAGCCGCTCAGCCAAAGTTTGGTTCGCTCCTGGAACATCAGCGCTGTGGATTTTACTCCCACTTTAACGTCGTCCTCCTTATCCTGCGTAATAAACATCAACGGGACATCAGAACTCAATTATTTCATAGATAAGATTAAAAAAATAAAGCACTCTGTCGGTCAGTTGTATGATTTAAACGTGTGAAATACGGTCAAACGCGAAGTTCGCCTTATGAATCATAACCGAGGAGGGAGGGAGAGTAGTCAGTGTTGCACCTGGTTTCCAAACACGACGCGACAGTTTAGTTTTTTCGAATAGGAAGTCGTAATTTCCCACTTACAAATACAACTGGAACACAGCATAACTCCATCCGCTGACAACAGGACACAGATTCTTGAACTCCTCTGCTTGAAGCAACGAGTGTATAGACCCAAATTCATTTTTATTATACTATATGTAAAAATTACTTGATCATTAATTAGTATAAATAAAAAAAAAGAACATCAGCAGATTGAAATACAGCAGCAGACTCAAGTTGTATTCTTGAGATGTTGTTATAACTTCTGCTGGCCACCAGGTGTCACTGGCGCCCCAAAGGTTTGAATTGTCTCGCGTTGTACAGCGGATTTAGCGGTAAAACCAGCTGACCAAAGTCCTGGAGTTGGGTTGCTAGGTGACGGGCTGGGCTTCAGCTTTTTTTAGAATGGACCCAAATGGAAGTATAAAAATGTGCAAAATGTGAACAGCAGCTTTTTCTTGAACAAAATCGTAAATAACACTGACTCCAATAACGACTAGTGCAGAATTAAAACACCTCTTTATAATTCAAAATTTGTGTCTATAGAGCTGATTTCATCACCTGATGAGCGTAGATCGTGTCATATACCAACGTCCACATCACTCCAGAGAAATACAGAGGAAGGCACACGGACCAATCACAGGAGCCCTTCACGGCGGCCCAGCCAAGCAGAGCGCCCCAGTTAAAAGTGAACCCTGCAGAGAGGCGACATGAGCAAGACTTTAGCTTCACTGATGTGGAACGGTAACAACTTTAAGATGAAAAATCTAAATTTCCTAAAACACTCACCCAGTACGAGCTGTGGCCAGTAAGTGATCCTCTTCATCAGTGGGTAAGTGATGACAAGAGAGAGAGAAGAGGCACCAAGAGCTATGCTGCCAAGAGAGAACGAACACACAATCAGAAACCTTTAAAAAGAAATGATTTCCTAACAACGTGGAATATAAATTTATACTCTAAAATTCCTTTAGAAAAGAAAACACATTAATCTTCTCTGAGTAAGTGGAGCTTTTAGCAACCTTGAGAGATACAAAGTCTGGGTTTCCATAGCTGTTTTTTCCTTGTTTGTTTTAATTTTGTCTTGAATTGTGAATCTTCTGACTCCCCGGTTCCCACACCTGGCCTGGTCAGGGACACGCTGAATTGAACGCCCTTTTTCTTTCTTTGTTTTTAGACAAATGGAACATTTCGTACCAGAACTTGCTGGCAGTGGCTTTTCAGGCTGCCAACCAACTCTCTCAATTCTCAGTTAAGTGAATTCAACATCAACTATGACTCAAACCTAAAAAAAGAAGCACTTCCTGCAAGATCTTATTAAACGTGCCACTATATGTCCAGTGATATTCCAGATGTTTGCACAAAATGCTTATTTGAAAAACAAACTCTTCTCCATTGTCTGTGGGATTGTCTTAAAATTCAGAAATTTTGGAAGGATGTTATCAGGTGTATCTGATTTGTTTAAGGTGAAAGTCCCGTTAGACATTAAACTCCGAGTACTTGGAATAAACCCAATGGAATTTAAACAATCAGAGAAGAGCACTAAATAGATAAAATATGGATTTCTTCAAGCCAGGAGATCTATTGCATTATGCTGGAGGAGCATGGATTCCTACCCTGGGACTCTGGAAGAAAGAAATTGCAAGTTCGCTTGGACTGGAAAAACTAACATACATCGCCAGGAGTAAACAGCGGGACTTTGAGAACCTCTGGGAGCCGAACATAAGGACCACAGGGACTGAAGGTGGAGTTTAGTAATGGGTGTCTTGACTACAGCTTCTATTTATATATCGTCTTTTCATTTTCTCTGCCTTAACCTGAAGGGTTAATAAGCTGCACCTGGTTACCTGTAGTAGTTGAGACACAGAAGAACACAGAGAGCGAGGGAGAGCTGCCCTCCAAGGAAAACCAGCGCCTGCATCCGTGAAATCTCCCCTGATGCGATCGGTCTGCAGGCTGTCCTGGCCACCTGCACAGAAACGTCACCACTTCACCTCAAACTGTTAAAAATATGATGACTGTCACCAAGAAAACAATATGTTTACCTGGCCACAATGGCAAGGTCTTCTCACACAATAGATATCAATGGAGAAACAATCAGCAATAGATAAAATTCAGTTTGAATATTTCAGTAAAATATATTTCATAACTCTAAATGCCATTTCAATCCCACTGCAGAAAAAAAAGACCAGGGAAGAGAGGAGAAATTGGAGAACCTACTTATAAAAGCACAAATTCCTTAATTTACTTATTTATTATTTGTTCTGGGATATAGCAGCAGATTATTTGGATTTAAAGTGACTCTTTATCTAATAATAATTATATGAAAATATTGAAAATACCACTGTGTCCATAAATTAATCAAAACAAAGAAAATTAGAGAGAAGTAAAATAATAATTAAGCAAATCAGAAGATATCTGTCAAGATTAAAAAACAAAGTATCCTAACCCACATATATGAAAAATATATATATATTTTTTGTTGTGACACCACTTGTTTATGTTCTGTTTTGTCCATTTTAATGTGTGTCTCCTGTTTTTGTTTATTTTATTTTTATTATTGTTATCCATTCTCNTATCTAATTGATTAGTTGTTATTTTATTGATCAATATCTCTGCTTGTTAGTCTATAATTTTTGTTTTGTATGCACTATTTGATAATTAATTAGAAAAAAAAAGAAAATCCGATGGCTGGAGAAACACTTTGCAATAAAACTATATGCTCAAAGGTTTTTTAATGAGATCTAGATCTCAAAAGGGTTTTTTACCTGGTTAAATAAAATATATAATAAAATAATAATAAATATGTTAGTCTATATTACTTGTTTGTCAAAGTCTTTATCCCACATGTCGTTGATGGTGCAGCCTGCTCCCCTCATCAGCAAGGCGCCGGTACCAAACAGGGCAAGCATCCCGACATCCGGGAGGCATCCAGGCTCCGCTGCCAAGGCGATGCTCCACGTACAAGGAAGGTAGAGAAGCCATGTTCCTAAAAACGAGATGCTGCTGAATTTAAAAGAGGATTATCTGCTAAACATAAAAAAAGACTAAAAATAGAAATTCAGCCAAGAGGAAACTGTGCCCAGCAGGAGGATTAACTGTGATCTGACTGAAGTTGTTTGAGCAAAGCCTTAGCAACGCATTAATGCATGAACTGAATCTTTTTCTGAAAGCACTGAGAGATTAAACAACACAGACTTTCTTTTTTAATTTGAGGGCTCTTCAATTTTTCCAATCATATTTCTAATTAAAAATTAAGTCTTCTGTGAAAACTTGTTTTACTCAAGGTGTTTTCAGATATTCATCAATTGATTCATAATTTTTCTGGTTTCTTTAGCAGATATTATTCTGTGTTAGTGACTCTTCATTCTGATTTCATGCCAACTATACTTAGTTTTCGGTTTAATCACACAATTTTCACAAGTCATTCCCTTAGATTGACAACCAAACTCTGATAAAAGACTGGCTGTGTGATGAATCCACCTCAGCCAGTCTTTGGTGGATTCAGACTGGATTAAGAAAAGTAGATCTGTTCTTAAATTCAATTGATTGATGTTCCTCCCTCTGAACATCAATCAAATCAAGTGTTTGTAAGCTGCAAGGCATTTTTGAGTACTTTACCTTCATCCAGCATATACTTACTGACTGTAAGTATTAGTTTCTTAAGGTTTGTATTGAAAAAATATATATATTGGAAAAGTGTTTCTTCTGCCTGACTTTGGTATTTCCTTGTTTTTTCTTCATTCAGTGAAGTTACTCACTGAAGTGGGTAGAGTATTCAGAAATGTCACACCAGAGACACTGTATAAAAATATTACTCAAGTAACAGTAAAAAGTACAGTGTAGTAAAACTACTCCTAAAAGTACTTTTATTCCAAAAAGTTACTCAAGAAAATATAACTGAGTAAATGTAGGTAGTTCTGTTCTTAAATTCAATTTTGGGATACTCTTAACAAAAATTACATTTGTAAAGTTACATTGTAAAAGAAAAAAAACAGCAATAATTAGATTTATTTAACCCTTCATTGTGAAAAAAGTGGGCGTCCATTTTTCAAAGTCATATTTTCCAGAGTACAAAACTCAATATGTAAATCACAAGCGAAACATTTAATTTACAAACTAAATACTTAACTTTCAAATTATTTAACTAAATTGTTTTAAGGATTTAGTTGGGAACTAAATATTTAGCTACAAATAAATGTTATTAATTTTCCACACTAAACATTTATCTTGCTGACTAACTTAATACTTCTGGCATTTATAAAAGTATGAATAACATAGTGAAAATATGACTTTGACAAGCTAAATAAAGCAAATTATTAGTGTTATTTTTTTTTACTATGAAACTTTATAAACGGCACCCCATACTCTACGTCTGTCTGATTAATAGTAAGGCGTGTCTGTCGTAGGAAATGAATGCAGTTACCGATGGGTTTGTCCAGCCTCATCAGTCTCAGGTAAGGCTGGACATGAGCAGGAGCCGAGTTCACCACATTAGCACCAGAGAGGCTGAACGACCTGCGCTGGGTTTCTCTGGGTCTCAACTTAAACCGACTCTGGCTGCACAAAATTCGTCTCAGCACCGCAGACTCTGAATGGAAGCCGTCTTTACTCTTCGCTGTTTGGTTTTGCAGGAAGCAGTTGGACAAGGTGGAGAGACAGGACGGGGGACAGGTCCGACTCACAGCGGTCCATCTTAAGGCCGTCAGAGTTAACCGGCTGCTCAGCCTGTTAGGGATCATGACGTTTCTCTTCGGTCAGCTGCACATTTTAAAATTTAAAACCGCAATGTAAAAAATCCCAAAGAAAATAAGCGACCTAGCGCTGCAGAGCGCTTTCTACTGTTGCGGTACGTTCAGTATTATTGTCCGGAGGAAACGACCACAACAAGAAGCGGAACGAATTACGTAGTGCTTAAACTCCAGGTAAAGCTGCTTATTTTGTCTTTGAAAGTTGACTAGGAGATCTAACTAAAACCAGAAATTAGGGTAGTAATTAAGATGTTATGTTGAATGTTTTTGCGCAAGTGAAGTTGAAGGTTGCCTGTTTATTAATAGAATTTATATATTTTTTTCTGACCCTTCATTTCCTTTATATCAAACTAATACTTTATTCTGGGACGTTTTACTTATTTACATATTTTTCTTTAAATCAGACTTCTGTCTCTCTGTCTGCCTCTATCTGTCTATTTGTGTGGAAACTTGCACATAGAACCCTTTGGTATAGTAAAGAAAATTTCAAGTGAACGTGTGAGCACTGTTTTATTTATTTATTTATTTATTTATTTATTTATTTATTTATTTATTTATTTATTTATTTATTTATTTATTTATTACTGAGAAAACATCTCTGTTCACAAAAATAAAGAAAAAAAGCAATGTGAAATAAAGTATGGCAATAAAGTTAACTTCTACAATATATACAGTGGAACAAAAACAGACATTATGATAAATTAAAACTATACAATGATTTACAACATTAATCTGTGTTTATAGCTTTTTTGTTTGTACTCTTTGCAATAGTAGATAAATATTTGATGTCTATAACGGTATAGAATAAATAAATAAATAAATAAATAAATAAATAAGGTGGAGAGGGTAAAAAAATTACACTTGTGAGTATGAAATTTGCCGAAAATAATAATTATATTAACTACCAGTCTTCTGCCTGCATTAGTATTTTTTCCAAGGAAATAAAAAATAATATGCTTCATGAAAATTTTGTATCAACATTACAAATTATAAAATTATTAAAAATTTTCTTGTGATATAACTGCGGAATAAATGAGTTATTTCTGAACGTTTTCTGAGTTCTCTCAATCCTCAAGGTGGCGGTAATGAGAATCGAGCAGTTCGACTCTCCATCAACCAAGAAGAAGAAGAAGAAAAGGAAGAATCCGAACAGGAGGAGGAGGGAGGAAGGCCAGATTTACTCGCGGGAAAAATGGCGGAAACGTGTCTATTTGTGTTTTTCTGCTGCAGCGCCCCAAAACATTGACTTGTAGGCCTTTTTTCGTGTTTATCTTCATGTGTGAGTATAATATAGTTGCACCGCGAGCCACTACACGTCTATATCTGTACCGCTAAATGTTTCTGGGGAGGTTTTGTTAGGGTTCTAATAGTTTATGTCTCCTGTCTGCAGGACGAACAGGACAGAAAAGTTAAACACAGAGGTGGGATTATCAGCTGATTTTCTAAAACTCAAAAGGAAAAAAGTGGGGTCGTTTTTAACCTCTAACTTGTGCAGTTTTTAACAAAAATACAAATTAATTTATATGGAGCATTAACTGCATTCTCATTAATGGAAACAATTTTACTTGTTAATCCTTCAGGTGTACCGTCGTGGGTTTTTATTGTGAAGCAACTGAATGAAAAGCAAAGTGGTATGTACTGTAATGACAATCCACATTCTTTCTTTGGTAAACTTGTTTTAATTAAAGCTGTGCAGCTCCCCTTATATTTTCTCCCTTGTAATCTTTAGATCCAGTGCAGTTTTCCACCTTTGAACACATGGAGGAGACAGTTCCCCAAGAATGCCTGCCAAAGTCTTTCCATTGCTCTAAATGCACCCTAATTTTCAAATCTAAGGTGTACCTCTTCGAACATCTTAACAAGGTACATTGCTTGGACATAGATGTGTGTCTGAGAGACGCCGGCTTAAAATATGCTGAGAGTAAAAAGGTCAACACAGAGAAGAGCAGAAGTGCAGAAAATAGTTTTACTTGCAGGAGCTGTGATTTTAAGACTTGTAGTCAAGAAGTTTTAACGAAGCATGAGACACATTGTGGGAAAACTGAAAGCCTCAAATTGATTGAAACTATTTCGACACCTGTCACGAATTCAAACCAACACGATGAAGCTGAAGAAGCATCCTCATCTAAGGATCTCAGAACATACAAGAGGCCATCATCGCAAACCATCACAAAGTATTTCACAGCAACATCTGGATCAAATGTAAAGCTCAAGTTAGCTAGTGATACAAAAAACAAAATTAGTTTAGAGGAAATACCTCGGATTGATGTATCTTTCCGACCGTCAGACGTTTTTAAACATGCTGACCATCTTTACCATTCCAAGCGAGAAGGATCCGATTCTCAAGCCGGACAAACAAATACGGTGATTAACGAGGTTGCCAGGAAGACCAGTAATGAAAGCTTAAAAGCTCCAGCAAGCAAAAAACCGAAACTAGAAGAAGCAACTGAAAATAAAAACAGAAAACCTTCAGGCAGTGCACAGTTTTCATTTGAAGTCAGTGACGAAGAAGAGGAAAGGAAGGCCAGGCTTGTTAACAGAGACCCGCCGCGCCCCAAAGTTTATTTCTGTAAGCACTGTGACTACAGCAATGTGAACTCCGACCTTGTATCCTCTCATTATGCCAGCGATCACCCGTATGTCCGATGCAACGCTGGCTACATTCAGCAGTCGTCTGATCAGAGCGCGACCTTTCGCTGCCTTGAGTGCCCGGTTGAGTTTCTAAGCACTGTTGACCTGAAGTGGCACTACACAGAAAAACACCCAGAGGCTCCAGATGTGTTCAAGATGAAGCTGAATGAACTCAAACTGGAGTTTAAATGTTTCACATGTACATTCACCTGCAGCGAGGTGAGGGACCTAAGATACCATTACAAGCAGAAGCATCGGACTTGGGAAGTGGACAATTCTTTGTTGTTCTGTCAATATTTAGTGAAGGAATGTCAGAAAATGTGTGAAAAAACATCCAGCCCAGAAAAGTCAGTGGAGCTTCCTCCCAAGAGAACCAGCACACCACATAAAGAGGTGGAAATTACACTTTCACGCCAACCTCCAACCTCCACAGGGCCAGACGCAATGCTGTATAAATGCATCAAGTGTCAGTTTGAGCACAAGTCAGCTGTCGCCATGCAGGTTCACTACCAGAAAAAACACCCAGAAAAATCTGTTTCATTAGATGAAATCAAACAGTTAGCTCGTGCAATGACGCCTGAGAAAAAAAGTTTACAGAAAGAAAAATCCACAGTACAAATAAAAGAGAAGGCTACGACACCCGAAGTTCCCAAAGGTTCTCCAGACCATTTGAGAATTGAAAATGTTAAATCTCTAGCGGATGATGCCAAAAAAGGGAGCTCCCCCTCAAAACATATAAGAAAAACAACGGATGAAACGGCGTCTTCACAGAAAGTAAAACACAAACCTGCACCGGCTTTGCAAAATGATAGTAAATTGTCCCAGTCAGAGCTTCCATCAAAAGCTGTTCTGAAAACACCAGAGATTTCCACACTGAAATGTGTGAAGTCTTCAAAAAAAGAAAGCACAACCAAAATGTCACCTTCTAAACCTAACATGGAAACAACCAAGTCTAAATCTGACAAATTTTTATGTAGTTCACCTCTGGACATGCACTACTGTCAGTTTTGCAGTTATGCAAGTCCCCAAATCAGAAGCGTTATCGGCCATCACAATGCAAAACATGCTGCCCATATGCCCTTATCAAAGGAAGACATCATACAGTATAGCGCTGAGGTGATTGAAAATAAGAGTCCAATCACTTTTAAAACAACTAGTCACATAAAAAATGGCAATGAACCTAAAACCCAGATTAGAAAAACTGAAGTCAGTGTGCATGTAGACCAATTATACTTCTGCCATCTGTGCAATCTTGGAAATCCATCAACACAGGGAATCATTGCTCATCAAAACAAAGTCCACCAATACAAACATTCCAGTCGGAAGAGTATTCTGAAATATTCAGCCTTGGTCCGTGAGAAGATTGAAGAGAACGGATCGTATTCTTCAAAATTACCTCTTCCGATAATAACAGAAGAGGACAAGGACATGTTCTTCTGCCACTCTTGCAACTATAAACACAGATCGTTGACTGAAGTAGCACACCATTACTCCAGAATACACTGCAAACCTTTCAATAAATCTGATATTCGTCAGTACACATCAAAGGTTCTTGAACAGCTCCAGAAATCTCCTCTGAAGTCAGCTGCAAACCAAGAGAAACCGGAGGGCAAAAAAGAAGCAACAAACATGTCTTCCAAAACCTTTTCCAACTCAATAATAAACACCGAAACACATAGAAAGCTTCCATGCAAATACTGCACATTTACTACTCAGTATGTGTTCCTTTTGATGTCACATATGAGGAAAATTCACTTTTCAAAACTCTCAGTTGCAGCCGTTCTAAGACTTTGTTTCCGTAAAGGAGCGTTAGAATCAGGCTATCACTGCGAATGGTGCGTTTTCAGTCACAAAAAAGCGGAAGTGGTCCATAAACACTACCAGGACCGACATCCGGGCTGCAAGCAGATGAGCCTTGGGACTGTGAAGGCTCGGTTATTTGTCGGTATCAAAGAATTACATTCAAAAGATGAGAAAACTGAACTAAAATCAGTCTCTAAAGGCCAGACATCCCAAAGTTCACAAAAAGACCAAGATCGGCTTTACCATTGCACATTATGTACTTTCAAAAGTAACGCACAGCGCTATCTTACACGCCACTGCAACAAGTTTCATCCTTCGCTGGTAAAAGATTCCCCAAGTGACAAAGGCAAAAGAGAAAAGAGCGAGTTGGATGACCTCAGCAAAATGCCAGGATTGTTTGAATCTTTCCAAGTGCCTCTTGAAGACACAGATGAAGAAACTTCATCTGCCGATGTGATCAAGTGCCCTTCATGCCCGGCGACATTTCACAACAAGCACGGTCTGAGCGTTCACACTGGAATAAAACACCTTAACGGCAGAAATGTGAAAAAACAACCCGAACAAATTGAAGGGCATGTGCA